CCTGGATAAATCCATCCAGAAGGATGGTGAGTTCGATGTATGCTGGGCTATAAGAGTTCCTCTCAAAATAAAAATTAAAAAACAAACAAACAAAAAAGCTGGGCAGTGGTGGTGCATGCCTTTAGTCCCAGCAGTTGGGAGGCAGAGGCAGGCAGATCTCTGTGAGTTTGAGACCAACCTGGTCTACAAAAGCTAGTTCCAGGACAGCCTCCAAAGCCACAGAAAAACCCTGTCTTGAACCCCCACCCCCAATTTAAAAAAAAGTTAACATGTCTTTTGGTCTTGGATGTTCAAGAAGGTGGGCATATTCTTCAGCCAAAGGAGTGTGTGTGTGTGTGTGTGTGTGTGTGTGTGTGTGTGTGTGCCTTCTCAGTGAGAATTGGGAAGTGAATGCTCATTAAACAGCTCAGGTGACCAAAAAGAAATCCAGTCAGAATGGCTCCAAGACCTGATGGAACAGCCAGGCTTGGGGTGACAATGAGAGTCCTCAGAGTGAAAGTGGCCCAGTCACCAAGTTGCAGTCAAGAGAGCTAAGAGGAGCCCGCCTGGGGTTGACTAACAAACCTCTCTGGTGACTCACATTAGCTTAGAAGGGTCTAAAAATGATATAATCTGAGGAATTCCATCTATTTAGTGCTTCTCCCAGGCCCACCCAGGACAGCTATTCACAGCACCTGACCCTTCATACCCAGTGTTAGCCTTTCCCTAGATGATTGAGTCTCGGAAATTTGCCACCAAGGAGAGGTCAGCAAGACTAACAATGTGCAAGAATGGATGTGTCTAGCCTGGGGTGGGGGGTGGGCGTGGCGTGGGGTGGGGTGCAGGGGATTCCTTGTCTCCAGACCAGCCTCTCCTTGAGCAGTTTCCATTTCCATCTCTGTTCTAGAAAAAGCCCAACATCAAAATTGGCATTGCACACGTGGACCATGCCTGGACTGTCTTTTCAGTGCTGTCTCTGGGCTGTGTGTGCAGCTGCCTCTCAGCATCTCCCTCCTCTGTAGCGCTAAACCAGGCATTCTAGCATTTGTCTCAGGAGTGCCTCAGATAAAACAGTCATGGCAGTGGGGGACCAAGAAGCTCTCAGGAGAGGATGTGAGAGAAAGGGTTGGGAATGGTGTGCCCTGAGCTCTTAGGATGCAAATATTCCAAATACATTATGGAGAACCACTAGGCATACTCCACTCGGCAGAATATGACCTTGGTCTATCTGAGAAGTCTGTCCTGTCACATAGGTGTCCTTTATCTGTGTCCATTCTTTTGACTCTACAGTTGTAGGTGAGAGGCTTCAATATAACACTGTGCTTCTTCCTCTTTGCATGGTGGAGAAAGTGGAACATCCAAATTGGAACATCCTGGTGCGGTAAAGCTCTCTTTTCTCTTTAAGTGCAATGAACTGCATACACTAAAGGACACAGCAATCTGATAGGGTTCTGTACAGGAATGGAAGAACGACATCTTAGCAGAAGCGGTGGTACAAGCCTATAACCCAGCACTCTGGAAACTGAGGCAGGAGGATTAAGAGTTGGAAGTCAACCTGGGCTACACAATAAGGCCCTGTCTCAGAATTTTAAAACTGGGGGATGAAGAGATGGCTCAGTGGTTAAGAGCCCTGGATACTCTTCCAGAGGACCCAGGTTCAATTCCCAGCACCCACATGGCAGCTCACAACTGTCTATAACTCCAGTTCCAAGGGATCCAACACCCTCATACAGGCAAACCAATGTACATGAGATAAAAAATAAGTAAATCATTAAAAATCTGGAAACCATTCTTTTGCCAGGTGGTGGTGGCACACACCTTTAATCCCAGCACTCAGGAGGAGGAGGAGGCAGGTGGATCTCTGAATTTGAGGCCAGCCTGGTCTACAGAGTGAGTTCCAGGACAGCCAGGGTTACACAGAGAAACTCTGTCTTAAAAAAAAACAACAACCCCCCAATACTGTTTCAATGGGGACTAAGTTCCCAGGATTTAGGCATTTGTAATGGCCTGTCCTTGGAGTTCTGACATGATCTGCCCTCAGCTGCAGCCACTAAGAGCACCACCTGTGCATATGTATGATGTTCCCTTTCAAAAAGGACCCTGCCCACCTCCTAACTCACTCACTCCCCCCTCTCTCTCCCTCCCTCCCTCCCTCCCTTTTTCTCTCCCTCTCCCTCTTTCCTTACCCCTCCCCTCCCCCTTCCCCTCCCCCTCTGTCTCTCCTGTTGCTCCTGTCCCCAGAGGCCTGTCTACCCCCCCCCCCCCCCCTGCCCCCCCACCCCCACCCTTCTTTTTTACAATCCCTTTCCCATTAAAAACAAAACAAAACAAAACAAAACCCTCCACTTGAACTGTCGCATGGAATTGCTTTTTATATTACAACAAGGTGTTTGGAACAATGGCACCAACACATTAAGTACATCTAATTTGTAATTCAGTTTCTATAACGGTATCACTGGAAGCAATATCTTACTCAGAATTCTTTGATCTATATGAAACTAAGAAGTCTGGAGTCAGAATCTTAGGGGATCTTAAAGCTCAAGGTTTCATTTTGTTTATATTTTTACTTGTTTATTTTTTTTTAAGACAAGTTTTCATGTAGGCCAGGCTTGTTTTTAACCCTGGATCCTCCTGTCTCTATTTCCTAAGTGCTGAGAATACAGGCATGTGCCTCTCTTAGCTTAAAATGCAAGATTGTTTTTCTTTCTTTAAAAAAAATTTAGAGAGGGTATATGTAATAGCTGGCCTGGAACTCACTATGTACATCAAATCAAGTTGCTCTTGAACTTACAGAGGTCTGCCTGCCTTTGACTCCTGGATGCTAGATTGAAGCTGTGTGCCACCAGGACAGCTCAAAGTTCAAGGTTTTCTGTTTGTTTGGTTGGTTGGTTTTAATATTTACTTATTTATTATGTACAATGTTCTGTCTGCATGTATGCCTGCAGGCCAGAAGAGGGCACCAGATCTCAATACAGATGGTTGTGAGCCATCGTGTGGTAGCTGGGAATTGAACTCAGGGCCTCGGGAGTACCAACTAGTATCTCAACCACTGAGTCATCTCTACAGGCCCCAAAGTTCAAGGGTTTAAACAGCTCTAAACCTGCCTGTATCCTCCAGTTTGCCAAAAGCCTCACTACTCCATATAACCTCATACAAAAATGCCTGATGTGCATTGAAGTTGAAAGAAGAGGGGATCAGGGGAGAGGAAGAGAGAAAACATGCCTAGCAGAGAATGTATTTTCTTTAAAAAAAAAAAATGTAGAACAAATGTATGGCACATGCCTTCAATCCTAACACTCAGGAGGTAGAGAAAGGTAAGCAGATTTCTGTGGGTTTGAGGCCACCCTAGCCTATATAGTAAGTTCCAGGAAAGCCAGAGATAAATAGTGAGCTCTGTCTCAACAAACAAAAATAACCCAAACAAAAACAAAAAACCAGTAACTTGAGACGTATTCTTAGCCAACTGCTAGCGCCTACCAATCCAGAAGCTAAAATGTCATCAGACAGCATCTGAAACCCACAGGAAAGGTCTACCCACTATTGTCTAGCATTTAGCACGCCTGCCTGTGGTCCCCACCGTTGTATTTGCTGAATATTTTGATATATAGCTTTTTTGGCCTATAACTAATACAGTCTCATTCAAGCACTTTAATGGTATACTGTTGTTGGAGAAACTTGAATCTGTTCCTGAGTGCTAGTCCTTTTTGGCTCTAGCTTACTTCTTTGAGGTAAGAACTATGGGGTATTTTTTTTTGGGGGGGGGATGTTACTCTCTGAAGACAGCTAAGTCTACCACTCAAGATGTTAATTCAACAGTTTTATTTATTTATTTATTTAGTTAGTTAGTTAGTTAGTTAGTTGGTTAGTTAGAGACAGGTTCTCACTGTGTTGCTCTGGCTGGGCCTGAACTGACAAGTAGACCAAGCTGGCCTCAAACTCTTTGTCTCTCAAAGGGTAGGATTAAAGGAGTATGCCATCATACCCAGTTATTTTGATTTATTTGTGACAAGATCTGATGTAGCCCCATCTGGCCTCCAACTAGTTATATAGAAGAAAATGACCTTGAATTTGTGATCCTCTTGCTTCCATCTCCCAAGGATTATAGGTGTGTACCATCCTGTCAGGTTCGATTCCCTTATTTTATAGTTGAAAACAAACAAAAACAAAATAGACTTTGAGTGAGGGAAAGCAAGTCATTTGGGGAGGCAGTTCCTTAAAACAGAGCACAATTATTGCTTCCTCGGTGCAGAGTAATGTGTTTTCTACTATGGTCAAATTTAACATTCCTTACTATAGAGGAAGGGACAAACTGATTCCATTTGACTTTCAAAAAGGAATCAGGTTGGCCCGGTGTTGGTGGCAGCGCAGGCCTTTAATCGCAACCTTTGGGAGGCAGGATCTCTGTGAGTTCAAGACCATCCTGGTCTACTGAGTTCCAGGACAGGCTCCAAAGCTACACAGACAAACCCTGTCTCGAAAAACACACAATAATGGGGTGGTTGGGGGAATCAGGCAGAAGTCCTAGTATTCTAGGTCAGCCTGGCCTACATAAGCAAGACAGTCTTAAAACAAATAATATATTATATGATATTTAAAAAACAGTGTTTTGGGGGGCTGGAGAGATGGCACAGAGCTTAAGAACACTAGCTGGACTTACAGAGATCCTGAGTTCAATCCCAGCAACCACATGATGGCTCACAACCATTTGTAATGAGATCCGGTGCCCCTTCCTTGTCTGCAGGGATACATGCAGACAGAACACTGTATACATAATAAATAAACAAATAATACATAAATAATTTTAAATAGTGTTCCGTAGACAACAATTCCTTATCTCTGCCATGTGTCAATTCCCAACGTATCCCAATTTCAAGACACCAAAGAACCTGCTACACAATTAAGCCCAGGAACCTTTCTTTCTAGCTCATGTTTCCACCCGAGTCCATAGACGAGATCGGAAGCAGAAAGCGGCTACGGGGCGGAGCAAACCAGTAGCCCGTTGTCCAGTCGACCGGAAGAGAAAGGTGCAGCCAGAATAAGGTCCCCTCCACTTCACTGCCGCCGGACAGTTGCTATACGCTCGTAGTAGGGGTTGTCCCGATGGTACTGCAGCACTGACAAATGGTGAGATGCCGAGCGGAAGCCGCTGCCCGGACTGCGGCTCCTCTGAGCTCGTAGAAGATTCGCATTATTCTCAGAGCCAGCTGGTGTGCTCCGACTGCGGCTGTGTGGTCACAGAAGGGGTCCTTACTACCACCTTCAACGACGAGGGCAACCTCAGAGGTACTGGGACCTGTCCTCGGGCCCTGGGGATAGCCTGGGGCGGTGGGATGCTTAAACCCAGATTCCTAGCTCCCCCCTTTTCTTGGTCATGCGCACAGTTAAATGTGGGAGAAGCTCGTTTAAAGTAAATTAGCTGGAGGAGGGTGCTAGTCATCTATTTTCTCCAGTACCTCATATGGTGTCTGGCATTTAGTGGGTATACTGAATGGTGAATGAATGAAACGGAAAAGGTTTCACCCATCGCGTTAGACCTGGTCAGTGTCGAAGGCTTGTCGCTAAATTATTTGGGAATACAGCACGAACCATTATCCCATAGTAGTTTTTAGCATTAATTGGCAAAATGCTCCTCCCCTCCTTCCACTCTGTTGTTTAGTCCACCGGTTCTCTTTGGCCCTTTTGGGAGATCGAGTAACCCTTTCGCCAGAGTCGCCTAAGACTATCCTGCATATCAGCTATTTACATTCTAATTCATAACACTAGCAAAATTACAGTTATGAGGTAGCAGCGGAACTAATTTTTATGGCTGGGGGGGTTTTACAGCATTAGAAGATTGAGAATCTCTGTGCTAGTCCTTGACTAGTGCAGCCCTCAAAATGGAATGTAACAGAGAACTAACTGGAAAAGTGGAATCACCAGCGCTGCTTCATATAGTTCTATACTATCTGTCTTCAGTGCCATTTGACTACTTAAAAAGCCTGGTGAGGCTGGGCGTTGGTGGCGCACGCCTTTAATCCCAGCACTCGGGACGCAGAGGCAGGTGGATCTCTGAGTTCGAGGACAGCCTGGTCTACAGAGTGAGTTCTAGGACAGCCTCCAAAGCCACATAGAAACCCTGTCTTAAAAAAAAAAAAAAGGCCTGGTGAACCTTTACTTTTGCATGGATGGGTATCTTCTCTGAGATGGGAAGTAGACAAACAATAATTTGCAATCTCCCTGGTCTTATGTGGTCAGGGGGCAAGATGATTAATGAACAGAGGCTAAATGTGCTATTTGTTGTTTATTATTTTACAGAAGTGACCTATTCTAGAAGCACCGGGGAAAATGAACAAGTTAGTCGCAGCCAGCAACGAGGTGAGAATCAACCTCTTGCCCTGAAATTTCAGCTTTGCTTTATTTACGTGACTCTTTAATGTTTTGTTTTAATATTTGTATGGGTGTTGGAATTGCATGCATGTATGTATGTATGTATGTATGTATGTATGTATGTATGTATGTGCACCAGTGGAACTGGAGTTATAGGTGGTTGTGAGCTGCCATTGGGTGCTGGGAACTGAACCTCAGGTCCCCTGCTAGAGCAGCAAGAGCTTTTAACTGCTGAGCCATCCCTCCAGCCCAGAGAATCAACTTTTTTTTTTAAAAGATTTTATTTATTTATTATGTATACAACATTCTGCTTCCATGTATATCTGCACACCAGAAGAGGGCACCAGATCTCATAACGGATGGTTGTGAGCCACCATGTGGTTGCTGGGAATTGAACTCAGGACCTCGGGAAGAGCAGTCAGTGCTCTTAACCTCTGAGCCATCTCTCCAGCTCCGAGAATCAACTTTTTATGATACAGTGGCTTTAAAGAAAATTGTCTTGATATCCTAGTCTATCTGTGTGTGTCCTTGTTGTCAGCATCACCAATAAAAGATATAGGCTAGAAGAAAACAGTTACTGATGGGGTGCATGCCTACAGTCCCAGAACTCAGGAGGTGAAGCAGGATGATAGACTTTGAGGTCAACCCAGTTTTCACAGTGTGTGTGTCTTAAAACCAAAAGGAATAGAGGTAGGTGAAGGTTTGGGTCTGCACGGGGCTTAAAGTAGCCTCAAGAAACCTGAGTAAAAGCTTGGTTTTGGAGCTAGGGGGTAGGTTAGTGACAGAGTATGCACCTATCATGTGTAAGGCTTCGGGTTCAATCCCTCGTACCAAAAAATAAATAAACTTTGCCCTGGCTATAAGTTGCAATAGCTCATATAAAGGTAGTGGATTGAATGTGACCTTCCCACAAATTTTCTGTACCTTTGGAAGGACTACAGTTCTAAGGGGCTAAGACTACAACTCATCGATAAAGAGTTTGCCCAGCATGCTTGAGGATCTGGGGTCTAGCTGCAGCACTACAAAACACATCAAGTGTCCCATTAGGACAGAAGGGCATATTATTTGCACATATGCTATATATGGCAAGTTTAACAGAACTAAACTAAGCCCTAGACGAACTTGCTAGTAGGTATACATAACTTCCTTTGACCTCTCTGCTTGTGATGTGTTTCCCTAGATCTCCGTCGAGTGAGAGACCTGTGTCGAATTCTGAAGTTGCCCCCCACGTTCGAGGATACAGCAATCTCCTACTATCAAAGGGCCTATCAGCTGCCTGGCATCCGAGATGCTAGGCTACAGAAGAAGGAGGTGTTAGTTGGATGCTGTGTTCTAATCACCTGCCGGCAGCACAACTGGCCCCTGACCATGGGAACCATCTGCACCCTGTTGTATGCCGATCTGGATGTGTTTTCAGGCACCTACATGCAGCTAGTGAAGCTTCTGGGGCTGGATGTGCCAGCTCTGTGCCTGGAAGAACTGGTGAAGTCTTACTGCAGCAGGTACTTGTGTAGGAGGAAGCCCAGGGTGGGGAGGTGTCCTGGCAGATGCATGCTGTTACCAGAGCCTGTCTCAAAGGGTTTGAGGGTTTTTCCTTCCCATCCCGTGTTTACCACTGAGGTTGATACCATTTCCAGAGCACTGTAATCTTCAAATCCCCTTTCCATCACAGGACTGCGATAATGTTTAAAAAAAAAAAAAAAAAAAAAATCCCTAGCCAGCCTTGGCATAAGGCTACTGAGTTGCCCCACTCCTGCTTTATGAATGTCGATCATTGGATTATGTGGCAGGGGCCATGGGTCACTGTATTCAGTGGCCCTGCTCCAGCAGGATCACCTCTCTATGGAGTCCAAAGATAACTAGTTAGTAGTAGAACTAGGTTCGAAGCTAAGGTTTTAGTGAGATTTTTTAGTTGTTTGGTCTTAGACAGTCTCATACAGCCCAGGCTGTGTTTGCACTTCTGATCATCTTACCTCCATCTTCTTACTGCCAGAATTACAGGTGTCCTTGGCTTGCTTCCTTTTTTTTTTTTTTTTTTTTTTTTTTTTTTTACCCCCCCCTGACAAGTATACTTTAAAACAAAACCAGACCACAAAATGGCTGATTAGGTTTGGTAGCACACACCTTTAATCCCAGCACCTGGGAGGCTGAAGCAAAAGCATCTGGAGTTCTAGACTAGCCTGGACTTCATGATGAGACCCTATGATAAAAGAAGCAAAAAAAGAAAACAAAACCCAAAAACCCAAACAGTAATGTTGAAACTTGGTAGTATCCTGGGCTGGAGAGGTGGCTCAGAGGTTAAGAGCACTGCCTGCTCTTCCAGAGGTCCTGAGTTCAAGTCCCAGCAACCACATGGTGGCTCCCAGCCATCTATAATGAGATCTGGTGTCCTCTTCTGGTGTGCGGGGATACATAGAGGCAGAATACTATACACATAATTAATAAATAAATAAATCTTTGAGAAAAGAAACTTGGTCATATCCTAAGTAAACACACATAATGGTACACTCTCTGTAGAGTAAATGAGGACATTGGAATTGTGTCAATAGGAAGGTGCTCAACTATGTTAGTGCCTTCACCTGGCACGTGCCTGCCCCCTTTTCTCAGCACCTTGCTTCCCAATGATCTTGAGTGTCTCTCGGACAAAACAGCTTCCCCATCCATCTTGGGTAGACTACCCTCTCACCCTGGAAGAACACTCTTTTTATCATCATTCACTTGACCTTCATTTGGGTTGTTTCAGCTTCAGACTGTTCCAAGCTTCCTCACCCATACCAGCCAAATATGTGGAAGACAAAGACAAGATGCTGTCCCGAACGTTGCTGCTTGTGGAGCTGGCAAATGAGACATGGCTAGTGACTGGGAGGCATCCCTTGCCTGTCATCACTGCAGCCACCTTCCTGGCATGGCAGTCTCTGCGGCCTTCAGCCCGACTGACATGCTCTCTTGCCCAGTTTTGTAAATTGGCCAATGTGGACCTGCCCTACCCGGCTGCCTCTCGTCTGCAGGAGCTCCTGGCTGTGCTGCTTCAGATGGCCAGCCAGCTGGCCTGGCTACGAGTCCTAAAGCTTGATAAGCGGACTGTGGTGAAACACATTGGTGACCTCCTCCAGCACCGCCACATGCTGGTCCGCATGGCTTTTCGAGATGGAACAGCAGAAGCGGAGACCCAGGAGCAAGAGCAGGGAGAGCAAGGACAGCAAGAGGAGGCGGAGGACAGGACCTTCAATTTGTCCAAGAGGAAACGCCCTTCTAGTCCTGCACCTCTCCTCCCACCTTGCATGTTGAAGCCTTCCAAACGAACCCATCCCACACCCTCCATTTCTACAGTGACTGGGGATGAGGACATTTCTGATAGTGAAATTGAGCAATATTTGCGCACCCCTCAGGAAGTTAGGGACTTTCAGAGAGCCCAAGCTGCTAGCCAGGCAGCCATGAGTGTCCCTAACCCTCCCTGATGCACATTCTTCAAAGTATATTCAGTAATTCTAACTACAGTTTGTTCATAGGCTCCTGTCGTGTTGCAAGAAGTAGATGTATAGGACCCTTGGATATTCCTTTCTTATTTAAAGGAACCATGAGTTGCGGTTAATTGAACCCAGTGTCCTAGAGATGTTTGGGGGTGTGTGGAATGTCTGTGAGTTGCAAAGTCCTGTCCCTTGGTGCAGGTCAGCAAGTTGGCTGTCTAGAGTGTGGGATGGAGTCCTCCTAAGACTGCTGAAGATCCACCCAGCTCTCTTCTGCACTGATGTGAAGTAAATGCATTCCTCATGGTGTCGACCATTACATGAGCAGGAGCAGAGAGTCCCTGGCTTGTGTTTGGTCTAAGCTCTAGGAGTCTTACACTTTCATAAGCTTCTTTACATCACCAACAAACAGACCAGAGGTGAACTACCGTTGTTGCTCAAAGGGCTTTGCAAGATTTTAATATATTAAAACAAAGAGGCATCTGCTAGAAAACATTCTATTGTATAAAACCAGAACTTTGAGACATGTTTTCTTTGGCACTTCATTCCCTCCCTCCCCTTTCCCCGGCATATTGCAAAAAGCTCTCCAGTGCTAAGGCGTTGGCAGGGTATGTAAACAGCAGCCAGCATATGTGGAAGAGTAATACAAAGCTTTTTCCTCTAATATCGACTGTGCAGCAAGCATAAATAACAGGACCCATCTTAAGGAGTATGGATTCTCCCCACTCTATTCTCTCAGCTGACCAGACCTGGGTTCCCTGCTGCTTCACAAGACCCAGGGATTCCGACACTTCCATGTGGTTCGGGAGTAAAAGGCATTTTAAGTTCAGAAAAACGGTGGCTGGAGATTTTAGCAAGTCGTGAAAGCACAGACTCTTGAGCACCCTGGACCCAGGTATGGCCTCAGAGTCTAGTTGGGTTTCAGAGGCGGGAGATGGTTTGGCATTTTAGGTTTCTAACTGGAGTTAGGAATTGGATTACTGCTATGGCTTTGCCACAGAAGCCTCATGGAGGCATTTTCCCTCAGTCCCTTGGAGGTGGACAGCTGAGAGCAGGCAGTAGGTATTGTAACTGAGCAGCTAAGCGCCCGCTCTTTAGACCATTGTACAGGTGGTGCCCAGATCCAAACATCAGCTCCCTCCCCTTGAGTCTTTAGGCACCTGGCAGCATCTCTCTCTCAGGTGAGCAGGGTTCAGGTTTTGCTCTGAACTCTGCTGGAAGAATAGTGTACCACTCCCTAGGGATTATGTCCCCCTAATTGTGCCCCTCCCCCACCTGTCCCTCTCCCGTGGGACTAGCTGAGCTCGAGTTGCCTACACACTGCCCCCTCCCCCCTTTGCATAGTTATCTGAAAAGGCAGCACCTGTTACTCCCCTGGCAGGGCACCTGGCTCACCTGCTAGGATAGTTTCCCAAGCAATGGGCCTCGGTGGTGCCTTGTGAGGAAAAGGCAGTTCCCAGGTTTCCTGAGCCTACCTGGGCTGGGCTCTTCCACTCGGTTTATGGGTCACCCCATAGGCCGACGGAACTTTTACCCCCTACCTGGAAAGGCAAGCCAAGAACTTGACCATCAAAACTGGTCTAAACTGATGCCTGTGATTGTCTGTGGCTACTGCTGAGGGCTAATCCACCAGACAAATGGCAAGCTTCTGCCTCTCCCTTCCCCAGCCTGGGTAACTAAAGGTGGTGAGCCCAGGGACAGCCACCTCAAACCTACATATCGGTAGACAGCTTGGACAGCCCAGGAAGATCTAGAAGTAACAAGCCGGTATGGCCAGCCCATCCTAAATCTGGCCCACCTCTGCCCTAGACAGTGGTCTCGCTTTTCCAGAGGCCGGTCTTCATGCAGCCTCCTGCTATGGCCTCTGCACCAGTCACACTGGCATCCTCATACTTGCCCCCTTTGGGGGCGCCGTTAAGACTGGTGTTGAGCGGGTATGAGCGGCGCTTGCTCTCCCTCTCCAGTGCACTGCCGCTGCCCTTGAGGTTGTCACGGCTGGCGCAGCGGCGCTGCCCGGGGCGCCCCGTCTCAGGGATCTGCGCTACGCTAGTGTCACTGCCCTCCGACGGCGTGAGCATGGGCTCGCCCTCGAGTGGAAGGCCGTCTCCGGGGCTATTGCGGCTGCTGCCCGGGTAGCTGTCGGTAGGGCTGTTGTGCAAGCTGCCGCTCTCACTAGATAGCAGCTCAGGAGCTCCTGGGGACGCGCTCGAGCGCAGCGCCTTGAGCCGGCTCTTGCCGCTAGTCTCTCCGGCTCGGTGCCCCTTGGCTCTACTCTTGTGTACTCGGCGCCCGTGATGGAGGTTGTTATGGTGCCGGGGAGCTAGGCTGCCACGGGAGCCCGTGGGCTCTGGCTCTCCATCCCCGCGGGCAGCCACGCCAGCCTCGCACACCTGACTCTGGGCCACCTGCAGATTGGTGAGTTTGCAAGGAGGCGGCGGCGCGCGGCCACTGCTGCCACTTGGGGAGGACTTGAGGGAGGCTGGCCCCTCCCCCAACACTGGGGACCCATCCTCCGCAACAGCAGGCAGGGCCCGGGGTGGGGCGTGGGAGGCCGATGATGAAGCAGGAGGACAGCAGGCGCGCCAGGAAGCCCGAACATCCCTACGCCTGGCACAGTGGTGTGTGAAGACAAAGAGGCCCAGGGCTGAAGCTGCCACACCATAGAGACAGCTACACACCACTCCCGGCAGCCAGCGCTGAGACACCGCCAAGGCGCCACAGGCCCACATAGCCAGGTACAGGAAATGTGTGGTCATCAATGCTCCCAGCTGGACTCCCGGAGAATATACGCCATCACCATCCTCTGGGGGCGCAGGTGTCCCTACCCCTGCGCTAACGGTAGCCAAAAGGGAACCAGAGTCACTCAGGAGGACGCCACTACTCCTGAGCCTGGCGGAACCCCTCAGGTCTTCCCCTGGTTCCAGAGAGAGCCTGCTGTTACCCTGCTTTGAATTCTGGGCCACATGACCCCGTAAGTGCAGGCCCGCACACAAGAAGTAGATCCAGGTGATGGGCAGAATCAACGCCACCGGTATGTAGAAGGCGCCAAGGCTTGGACGCCACACCAGCCAGCAACTAGGGGGAGACAGAGGTAGTGGATGAAGAAGAGTTTGGAGAACCCCGGTGCTGGGGCACAGGTTGGGTGGTTGATGAGGTAGGATGTGGGAAGTAGAGAGGTGAGGCAGGACCTGGCTTAGTCAGCATGCAGGGGCTCTCTGGCTGGGTGGAACGGCAGGCATGGGGCTGGTGTGAAGGTTGGGGTAGACAGATGGTGATGATGAGGCAGGAGGGAGTGGTGCTCACTAGGGACTGTGGTCCCGGTAGTTGTGGATGTTGACCGCAGCGGTGATGCCGCAGATTATGAGGGGGATCCCTCCAGCAATCAAATAGAACCTGGGGGACAGGGTTTGAAGGTCAGAGAGATGGAGCACTCGAAGGGAACCAGGTGCTTGGAACCCTCAAACTGATATCTCTGTCTTTTCCTCTGTCTCCTTAAAATCTGTGTGATTTGGGGAGATAGGGGAGGGCAGGGATGTAAGGCCCCCTAAGGGTCTAGAACTTGGCCAAGAACTGTTCTAAGGGGCAAGGGCCAAAATTGTTCTCTCCAGCCCTAAGCAATCTGAGTGAGGGATGTTATGAAGGTTTTTAGGGTCCCTACCCAATGTCCTTTGATGTCACCTCCTTCCCTATCCCCTGCCTCTTGCCTTTGGAGAGGGATCTTGTACTCACCCCCATCCACCCCAGCTTTGCTACACCTGTCTTGGGTCTTGAGGCTTCCCATAGCTGAGAGCAGAAAGCACTTACCGGAGCATGGGGCGAGGACCAGGTGGTGTTGCATCCCCTTCTTCTGGAGGGGGCGCCCTCCAAGTGAGCTCCTTGTGGAGGACTCGAGCCTTTACCCCCATCCAGAGCAGCGTGGACAAGGAAGAGTAGTGCAGAGTGATGCCCACCTACAAGGTCAAGGCACTGAGGCTTGGGACCTGAGCTGTTGACTGGGCTATACCCTGGAACGTCAATGGCCGTGTATGTTCCCACTATTCCCATGTTTCCAGCATCCCACCCAGGTACTCATTAATATTGGTCCTCACCGGTGTCCTCTCTGCTTCCAGCCAGAGCTCATGCTCATGCTCAAGCGCTCTCTCTGTCTCTGTCTCTCTGTCTCCCTCCCTCCCTCCCTTTCTCCCCCCCTTCTTTCACCCCGGGGAGTCTCCAGGACCCAGGCACAGCAGTTTGGCTGATACATGACCTCTCCTCCACTGTGATCCCCCTCTCCACTTTGAAGCCCTATCTCCAGTGATCTTGGAGCTAGTCTGACCATCCCTGTTACTCTACACATCGCCCCTTCCCAACCCTACAAGGCTAGCACAGACAACAGAGGAACTGAGGGCTATTTCCAAAAATCTTCTCTTTCTTGCTATGCCCCCTCTAACCCTGAAGTTACTGGTTTTAGAGCCCCCATCCCCTTCTTACCGCTTGGCAAACCATCTGGTAGTTGGTTAGAGTGATGCCCCCCACAAAGACAGCAGAGGTCATGGCCATGTGGAAACACAGGTTCAACAGCATGTGCCAACCCTTCCGGGACACATGGATGGAGCTTTTATTAATGAGAAAGAGAAAGAGTCTTTTATTAATGAGCTGTCCAACCCACTACAGCAGTGGTTCTCAATGGCATATCAGGTATTTTACATTACGATTCATAACAGTTGTAAAATTACAGTTATGAAGTAGCAATGAAATAATTTTATGGTGGTGGGGGGAATCACCACAACATGAGGAACTGTAGTAAAGAGTGGCAGCTTTAGGGAGGTTGAGAACCACTGCTCTGCAGGGTCTCAAGGCCACTGGGAGAGCCAAAAAGAGGAAGACAACCTATCTGTGTATAAATGTGCTCCATGAGACAGGAAAGAAGTCCATAATCTCCCTACCCCAACCTTCACAATGTGTTCTCCAACCCCACTCAAGAAGCAGCATCTACCAGCCTGTGATGAGCCCCCCCCACTCCCTCCTCCCTGGAGCACTGCTCACCTGTGGTTGAGGATGTAGGTGATGATGGTGGAGAAAAGACAGAGTAACAGCAGAGCTGTGCAGGGGTACACAACAGGATGCAAACCAGCTCCAGGACCTCCTACCTCCCGAGGGAATGCACTCAGCTCCTGTGAAGGAGGGACAGGTGAGAGGACTGAGCAGACCCTGTCTTTCCCTAAGCCACTTTCCCTTGTCTTGACCCATGCAGCCTTGGAGCTGAACACCTTTATGCTTTAGCTTATTTGCTAGGTAAAATGCAAGTGTGAGGCCAGCCGCTCAAGAGGCTGGCCTCAGAAAACACTGATAGCTTCTCACCTGCCTCACCCCTTCTAGTGTTCTGCTTTTCAGGGGACTGACTTCTCAGATGGCCAGTTGAAAACTCAGAGATAGGGGTGAAGAGATGGCTCAGTGGTTAAGAACACTGGCTGTGCCGAGTGGTGGTGACTCACACCTTTAATCCCAGCACTCGGGAGGCTGAGGCAGGCAGATTTCTGTGAGTTCAAGGCCAGCCTGGTCTACAGAGCAAGTTCCCGGACAGACTCCAAAGCTACACAGAGAAACCTTATCTCAAAAAAAAAAAAAAATGTTAACACTGGCTGCTCTTCCAGAAGACCCAGGTTCCTAGCATCCACATGGCAGCTCACAACTGCCTGTAACTACAGTTCCAGAGGATATGACACCCTCACACCAATGCACATAAAATAAAAAGAAAAATCACTTTTTAAAAAATCACTTTTTAAAAATTCAGATGAGCTGCAAGGAAGAGGGCTGTCTGTGATGGGCTGTATGTCTGTCTGTATCAGCAGAAGCTGGGTGAGGAATGGGATAGGGAATGAATTACTACACATATTCCCAGGTTGCTTTTATTTTTTGGAGGGTGTTTTAAAGACAAGGTTTCTCTGTATAGCCCTGGCTGTCCTGAAACTCAATTTGTAGACCAGGCTGGCCTCAAACTCACAGAAATCTGCCTGCCTCTGCCTCCTGAGTGCTGAGATTAAAGGCATGTGTCATTATCTCCGGGCCCCAGGTTGCTTTTTAACTAGAAGAATTCAGGTCAAAATAGGCATGGTGATACATGCCTATTATCCCAACACTTGCATGGTGGAAGCAAGAAGATAAGCAATTCAAGGTCATTCTCGACTATATAATGGGCTGGGCTACAAGAAATTTTATTTCAAAAGCCAAACCAACCATCCAAACAAAAACATAGGACCTGAAGGCCATGCTAGATGATTCCAGATCCATCTCGAAAGATGAAAGATGGAGAGGCGTGGAAGAGACTAGAGGGTCATTTCCCATGAACTTTGACATCAACAAAGCACAAGGCTGCTGTCCTTTCTGTGTTTTCTTCTGGTTCCAAGTGATCAAAGTACTACAGTCCCTATCTCCCACATGTTCCCTCGCCTCCTTGCATCTCTGCACACACACACCCCCACACACACTATACACACCATGAGCACAGCCACATTGCCCAAGTGCTGACAGTACAGGGAGCTGACATTGGGCTGGCTGAAACGGAGCTTGCAGCCTTCGGAACTCCAGCCCCCGGGCCCCTCCTGGTTCCACCAAGCTGCCATGGGATCTGCTCCTTCTGCCCAGTGCCGCAGTGAAACAGCCACTGGCTCAGTCAAGTTTCCCACACCGCAGCCACCTGCAGGGACAGGGAAGTCCATATAGACACTCAAGGCTATGAGGAAGGCTGCTGAGTGGCAAAGCAGAGCAACTGTTGCAGGGGTCAGAGCATGCAGGGGTCCTGCCCACCTGCAAGTGTCAGTCTACCGGGGGAGACTCAGCCAGGGAGTAGGGAAGAGACAGGTGAAACCATGGAAGGCCTCCCCACCCAAGGTGTCCAGTGAAAAGTGACATTGGTTGCTGTGCTAACTCAGAGGGAGGGACAAGCCAAGTGTGGAGGAATCCCTGGAAGGAACAGTTGGCATCTGAAAAGAGAGATGGGTGGGACAGGAGAGAAACCTGAGAAAGGAATTAAGCAGAGCTATATGGGAGACAGTACCTGTGACGTGGAGCATACAGCCCCTACCCTACCTCCACAGCTCTCCACTAATACAGCTATTAACTCATGTGGTTGACAACATCGAGTGACCCTTCCTCTGATGACCTATCATTCAGGTCTCAGAGAAACTTGAGTTTTCAAGAAGGCCTCCCTGGCCCCTAGCTAGGTTCAGATGAACATCGTAACTCCATAGTCCAGGCACCTTGCATTGCCACTCACTTCTAATGACTCATTCAGGGCCTGCCGGCCAAAGTGTGCACACTTAAGGGTAAGGACCCAACTGTCTGTGCTCAAGCATCTCTCAGCCCAGCAGAAGTTGGCACATGCTAGGTAACTAACAAACGTTCCCACCCAGCCTGGAAAGAGCCTGTTTTAGGAACAGGAAGAGATGCCAGGGTAGTAACAGCAACACCTTTATGGCACACAGGACCCTGCATGGCATGTAAAAGAAGGTAGATAAGCCAATGATGCTTGAAGGTGCTCTGATGTGCAAGTGGTGTTTTCAGAAGGCAAAACTGATGCCCCGAGTCTGGCATACACAGTGTGGGTCCCACTGTAGATGGAGATTGCTGGGTGAGCAAGCCAAGAGTTTGGAAAGTGGAAGGAAAGAGGGACTTAGAAGGACACATGTAGGCAGGTGGTGGGGGAAGAACTGCTCCTGATGTAAGGATGGGTTACAATAATCCACTCAGTTCCTGGGAACCAGACCAAAAACAAAGCAGTGTATTCTTCCCCACCAGTTATCCCTCCTGCTCTGGTCTCTACCTTATATGCTGTGCCTGGAAGTTCTGACTACCTCTTGGGATTTACTGCATCAGTCCCACCTCTAACCACAAGGTCACAACTGTCTTGCCTTTTAGGACACACCAGGGCTGCTGGTCTAGAAGTCTGAGGAGCCTCTGGTAGCCATAGCACTGGGGTGTTAGTCAAGTATTCCACTACTTGGGAGGCAGTAGCCATTGTGGGGCAACCCATGGCCCTTGTGTTTTTCTCCTTATAACACTAAAGACAGTGCTAAGCTGCCAGGATGTGTTCATGAGCCCCACCTGCCTGGGGCTCATGAGTGGCAGTGCAAGAAGTCTGGGATTTGGTGTGGAGGGAAGGAACTGACGCTTTGCTTACAACTTTCTGATAAGTCATATACTTAGGATATAAAATTGTCCTATGTCTGGGATATAAAACCACAGTCCCCCTAATCCTTTTCAGCACCAATCCCTTCCTTTACAGACCATCTCCACTCCCACCCTCCTTGAGAAACTCTAAGGTTTCTGCTATCCTCTGCCAACTGTGCCAGGGCAGTAGGGAGCCATGAATGTGCAAGGGGCAAGACCGACATGCAGGAAGTTAGTCCCTTACTGGTTCCTGCAAATATGACTGGGGTGGCCACACCACGCCTCTTGCCAGGCCCAGCTGCTCCAGGACGGGAAGTGTTGCCGTGGCTGCGGAAAAGACGGCCATTTCTGAAGACCAGCAGTTGCAGGGTGCAATCTGGAGGGACTGGGGGAGCCAGGGCAGCCGGAAGGGTTGAGAACAGGCTGGGGGGCAGCTGGATGGAGGCCAGGGCCACGCTATTCTGAGGGGACATAGGAGGTCCTCAGAGATACTCAGCATCTCTGGCCTTTGATGTCTCCCAGCCCCTTCCTGTCTTCCTGCCGTGTCCTTCCTCCCACCTTTTACTTCCTCCCACACCCACACCCACACCCACACCCACCTCCACCACGAGACACTTGTTTCTCGGCACCACCCTCCTCAGCTTATGGTCCCTACCCCTACACCCTGGCTTCCCCTGGTGCCCACCTTGATGTGGAATGATGACAGAGAAACGTTGGGCCTCCCAGTGGTGCAGCGGAAGCGGAGCTGCTGATCAGCAAGGGGCTCCGGCTCGAGTGGGACATTCTGGCCAGGGCCACCTGGCTGTGCAGCCAACGCTCCTACCTCCCTCCTCTGGAAGGCTGTGCAGGTCAGGCCCACATAGCTGTGAGGCTTGATGAGGTAGGCCTCCAATGCCACATTCCTTGAATTCTGGGGACAGAGACCTTGTCACCCAATATTTGAGATATAGTGGTCCTCTGCCCAAGACCACACATGTCCTCTTTCAGATATGCTTCAGCCACGCCCCTTACCCTTGACTGCTCACTGTCTTTTCAAAGCGTGGACAGTCTTACATATGCCATGGAATCACCCACATGGACCCCCACCCCCAACACACCTCCCAGACACAGGCCTTCCCCTGCCCTTAGGGGTGTCCTCATACACCCCCATCTTCCACCGGCTGATTCTGTTGCCCCACCCCAGCTGTCAAGCAGGATCCATGCCTTCCCCCCACCATATGTCCCTGATTATCTAGCACAATTATACTGTGGTTGTACATTCTACCAGTTTAAAAATGTCACCATCCTCTCGTTGAACTTTCCAGCACTCCCCATTCCACTGGAAGTGCTGTCCACCCTGAGACAAAGACTCCCTTTTCCCTGCACCCATTCCCAGCATGCCCCCATTTACTTCTACCTGCTAAACCCCCAACTCTGTTCCCAACTAGAAACGCTCACACCACAGTGTTACCATCACAGCAGCCTTTGCACCTCCCTGACAGTTCATAGTGGAGCTGTGCTTGCCACCATGTTACCAGAGCCTGATATGTATCCAGGAGAGAGGTAAACATTTCCTGTCTAAGACTCACAAAACCGGCCCCAGTCCACACTCAGCTGCCCCACCCCCCAGCATTAGCCCCTGAAAAGTCCCTCCCACACCAAGCTACAGTACCACAGAGATGTGCTGGGCATGGGGGCTGAGGGCAGCTCCTGCAATGCGCTCCAGGGCACCCACAATGCCGCTGCAGGCTTTGTCTTCTCGCTGTGCCAGCCACAAAAGGTGCTCATCCACTAGCATCAGGTTGCTGGCCATGTCCACCATTACCTCCACCAGCTGAGGAAGGGAGGCAGGACAGTCACTGAGGGCAGGAGTGATATTTGGGACCCAGAGCTGGTGTGTGTGAGGCCTGAGATGATGGGAGGATGGCTTCCAGGGGGCCCAGAAGATACGTTGAATCTCACCTCTTTGATCTGGTCAACATAACCCAAAAATTTCTGGATCATCTGAGCCACATAGACTACGTCCATCATGTCTGAAAAGCTGGCAGCCTCAGCAGTGTACACTCGAAGCTGGTGGGCCAAGGTCAATGCATTGGAGGCATTGATGGGCATCTGGGGATATTGGGAGGAAAGAAGGTCAGGATGGCTTCTTCTTTCTGTCCCAGAACCTAGGGCCACAGGCCAGGAGAGGAGCCAAGACCACCTACTGGGACCATCATGATCAGAAGTGCACATCAGTCCCTATCACCACAGCTCCAGGCTACTCAAGCTAAGCATCACTATCCTAAGGATAATGAAGGTTTCAATCACTGATGGTGATGGTGGATACAGCAGATAAGAGTATGGTACAGGCCTGGCCCCTGGAAAAGATAAACTGGATTACAGCGCCAGTGGAAAGGCTGTCAGCCCATGGCTCTTGCTGTACCCATTTTTTTTTTTTTCGAGACAGGGTTTCTGTGTAGCTTTGGAGCCTATCCTGGCTCTCGATCTGTAGACCAGGCTGGCCTTGAACTCACAGAGATCTGCCTGCCTCTGCCTCCCCAGTGCTGGGATTAAAGGTGTGTGCCACCAACGCCTGGCCCCATTTTGTTTTTTTTCTTTTGAGGCGGGGTCTCATTGTGTAGCTCTGGCTGTCCTGGAACTCACTACATAGACCAGACTGGCCTTGAACTCACAGAGACCCACCTGCCTCTGCTTCCTGAGGACTGGCATTAAAGGCATGCAGCACCATGCCTGGAAGCTGTACCCACTTTCAATGCACACCAGAGAACAGAGGTGCAGCCTCCCCCATGAGCCATTAGGCTCCATCCCAGCCAATTGCATGAATCAAAGTTGGGGGGTGCCCCAGCCTCACCAGCACAAAGGTGTAGAGCACCCGAGTGATGTCATTGGTGTACAGACAGTGGGAGTAGTCCCCTGGCTCCCAGCGGCCAGCTCGGTCACACCGGCGTGAGGCTCGGGTGCCTGGGGCTCCCCCACTCAAGGGCACAGAGGTGAAGGGGTACTGTAAGCAGGACTGGTAAGCCGTGATGCCAGCCAGGGTTCGTGGCCACCTAGAGGTAGATGTACGAATCTGCCATGACCAAGACTCCCTGAGACAAATGCCCTTCCCTCCCAACCCCAACCCAGGACTATGACGCCAGACCCCTGGGGCTTGGTGAAGGGTTCAGTAAAGACTGTCCTGGCAGCCATCAAGGGTTCCCAAATTCTGCTTTCTCTGCTTGTTCTGACAATGCTATTGCAGGCAATATATGGGAGTGCTATGCAGGGATCTGGGTTCACAAGCTCTGCCATTTATTGGAAGAGTTGCTGCTCTTTTCTGGGCTTTGGTATTCTCAGTTCTCCAGTATGGGGAATAATACCTGCTCTTCATACAGAGAGGGTCTCTGGAACAATAATATGTGGCACTGTTTGTAGAAAGCTTCTGCATACTAAAGTGGGAGGAGGCAATTAAAAGAGGTGTGATAGCAAGATTGTGGGCTAAATGACAAAGGAAGTCCTTGGGACTGGAGGAAGAAGGCAAATGGGAGGGCCTAGTCGCTTGAGAGGGTGCAGATGCCCGGGTGGGGGCGGGGACAGCCATTTATAAGCAGTCAACCTGAAGTCCCCGCGGTTGTTGGTCACACGCTCAGCAGGGCAGTAGGATGCAGAGGTCTCCAGCACTACTATCTCCACCTTCTTGCTCGTGTTGCCTTGGACCGTGGACACGGAGCACTCCCACTCACCTGAGGCCCACACGCCGATGTGAGACAGGGTCAGCTCACTGCAGGGGAGGGGGGTGGGGGAACTGGCTTGGTGAGCTAGTTGGTTAGTTTTCTGGTCACCTTGACACAAGCTAGGGTCAACTGAGAAAATCCCTCCATCACAGTGGCCTGTAGACAAGTCTGTGGGAGCATTGTCTTGATTTACGTTTGGTGTGAGAGAGACCGGCCCACTGTGGGCGGGGCAAGTGGTCCCAGGGGATGCTCATCAGGAAACCGTGGTCCTTTCTGCTTCAGTTCCTGCCTCCAGGTTTCTACCCTTCTTGAGTCCTGCCCTGACTTCCCTTCCTTCCCCACGCCCAAGTTGCTTTTGGACATGGTGTTTATCACAGCAATAGGAAGCAAACTAAGCAGTGAGCTCTCAGGCCCCGCCTCTTCTCCATGCCCCTTCCCTTCAGCCCATCTACCTATGCCCTGTTCTGGTAAGAGACACATGAGCATATGTACTCTTTTCCTTCTGATTGGAGAGGCACTGCAGGCATTGTAGAAGCACTAACAAATGTCAAACTACCTAGCCTCATTTTAACAAGCATTTACTATCTTTTTGGGGGGGCATTAATTCTAACCTCTATTCAAGCCATTTATGATTGTATCTTAGCTCTCTATAATCTCTCTCTCTCTCTCCACTCCCCACCCTCCCATCTCCCAGGATCATGTCTGGAGGGGAATGAGAACCATAGCTACCCTGCTCCATGCCCCAGATTATAAAGGGACATCAGAGCCTGTACCTGGTGATGAAGGTGCAGTCATGGATGAGGTTTTCTGCAAGGACGATGCCTGCTTGCTCATCACTCTCCATTGGGGCCCCATTGTGGTACCAGTGGATGCGGGTATCATTGCCCAAGTAGCTGGCAGAGCACTGGAAGGGCAGACGGTCACCCTGGAACACCACTTGGCGCAGGGATGGGATGAGGTAGTGCGTATGAAGTTCCAGAGCCCCTTCTGTGGATAAGACATGAGTGGTGAGACCTGAGTGCATGCACATGTGAGCCTGTGTCTGAGAGTGACGCCAGTAGTGCAATCCCTTAGCTCGTTGTACTTAAAGGGTAGCATGTGATGAGAGTGGAATCCCACAAGGTAGGTCCAGGCCCTCTTGTCTCCAGTGATCTCAGGTTGGGAATGAAAGGGGTCAGAAAGAATCCTCCCAGATAAGAAGAAAACAGAGGAATATACACAAGGGGAGATCAGATGAAAATATAAACAAGCAAGCAGTCCTACAAGAGGTTTAAGCATGCTGGTGGAGGGCTACCCCACAGAACTCGGGGAAAGAGGTGGGCTTGGAAAACATGTCATCATACAACACATGGGGCCCAGAGAGATTTGACTTGGCAAGTGTGGGTGAGGGGCTGGCTCACTGGGACCTGGGACAGGTTTCTCACCACAGCGGAGCTGGGGTTCCTGGAGGCTGCTAAGGGCCTGGGCGTGCAGGGCACTGGGGTAGGCACAGAGTGTGCGTTCTGATAGCTGCAGGGAGTGGTTCCGGGCCCAGGGCAGCAGCCAGCGCAGGTGACAGTCACAGGTCAGAAACTCGGTGCCAAAGTCCCTGCAGGGTAGGTACAAGGAACAGTGTGGGCTCATGGGGTGGGGTGAAACTAAGTAGGAAAGGGGGTGGATAAGACAACCTCAGGTACATGTGTGCCCTGCTACTCGGGACATGACTAATTTGGGGGCATTTCTGATAGTCTGCCTACTCAGCAGGCGTGATGAATGCCCTCAGCTCTAGAAATGGCCACACATTTGGCCCCAGTCAATGCACTGAGTGGAGAATAGGAGTTTGAGCAGGGACAGGGTGGGCTGGCAGGTAGGTAAGGTGGTGGCTCATAGGATCTGGGAGTTGCTTTAGGGGTGAGGGGAGGACTGAGGTTTGGGCTTCAGAGTCTCCCCCCCCCCCCCCCCCCCCGCCCCGGTCCAGATGTCTCTCTCCTGCGCAGAGGAAGGGACCAGGGGACTGCTCCTGTGCTGGGAAGATACTCACACAACCTTAAGGGCTGGCAGCTCATCAAAGACCCCAGGTTGCAGACTGGAGAAGATATTCCCAGATATATTTCTGCAGAGGGCAAGGAAGGAAGAGTGAGATGAGATCTTAGGGTCTCCCAGGGCCAGGACAGGAGAGCCCTGGAAGGAGAAAATGCAGGTACTGAAAGGGTCTGGCCCAGCCATCTTCCTCCCAAGCCCTCCCTGCCCCCTTCCCACTTCTCTTTCTCTCTCAGAGACCTATCACTCACAGTCTCAGAAGTCTGGGGAGACCTTGAAATGTCTCAGAGGTGAGACAGCCAATCCGGTTGTTGGAGAGATCTCTAGAGAGAGAGACACACTCAGCAACTCCACTATAGAACAGGAGGAAGATTCACTTCCAAGAGAGACATTCAGCTGGAGATTATGTGGGCAGTAGGCTTGGGCCCAATGCCACAGCAGGCTGGAAACACCCCCATAATTGTCCCCAGCCGGCGTACTGGGTAGAGACTTGGTGTCTGAGAAGGGACAGGGCAGGATGGGTTCTAGAGGTAGTTGTTCACAGTATCTAGGAAATTTGGGGGGTGGATAAAGAGAGGGCTGGGGATGGGGTGGGCAGGACATGCCACTCACAAGCGTTTCAACTCTCCCAGACCCAGGAAGGCTCCAGGCTGCACAGTGCTGATGACATTGTTCCTCAGGTCCCTGTGGGAAGCAGTGGGAAGACCTTCACACTCCAGTCTGAGGGCCACCCCGCTCTTTGGGTGGGGCATCCTGTCACCACAGGTGCTGGCTTTCTGTGGAGCTTGATTTTTCCCCTAAGTCAGCTTTCCTACACACCCACCCAACAGGTCTCTTTAGCTTCTCTGGCCACTAGGAAGGAGTCCTGGTTGGAGAAATATGTGTAAAGTCCCGTGAAAAAGAACAAATCTGGGATTGAAGAGCCTGTGGACTAACTCATGATTCACTTGGCTAATGACAATGGAGAGTTGTTGTGTTCCAAATGAAAAGCCACAATTATCTTGGGCTATCTTTAGTTTAGCCACTTGGCCCCTACCTTTGTATCTAGCCTAACATCCTCTTGATTATCAGCTAAGACCTTTGTAACTTAGCAGATAACCAGCTTCCCCAAACCCAACACTAAGGATGTCATCAGATAGCCTCAGAGACAGAACAGCTGATTTCTCCACATTGCTGTAATACCTACCTACTCTTTTCACTAATTTGGCAAATGCACTGATTTGTGGATTTCTTTGTTCTGGGACTATAAAGTTTATGCCGCCTCTTCCATGGTGGAACATGTAATTCGGTACAAGCTGAATCTATTCCTAGATCATAGTCACTCATCTGTGGTTCAGAATGAACTACCTCCCCTTTGGGACAAGAGTTGTGTTTTATGTCAACTTATCTAAGATGGTACAGGAAGCAAGACATGTGATAGGATGGGCTTTGGATGTTGAAACAGGGACAAGAAGTGGAGAAAGTTTCCCATTAGGAGTTAGGAGACTTGGTTTCCCACATTCCTTCACCGGAGCCACTCTAGGACCTTACAGGACTGTTCAGGGAGGCCTTGAAATTAGCTGTACCTAGCCATCAGAGGGAATTTTACTGTTATCATCGTCCTACAGGTCTCTCTCTCTGGAGCCTGTGAGAAAACCGGCAGGGAAGCTAGTGGGAGAACATGCACTGTGGTGTTATACAGCTCCAAGTTAAGGTGCCAATCATGGGTACAGATGAGGCCCAGGGCCAATAAAACCTGTGCAACATATTTAGCCCTGCCTCCCCAAGAGGATATCTGCATTGCTGTCAGGAGGTGGCAAGAAGCTGCCTCCAGGCTGAACAGGTGACAGCAGGATAGACGATGGCTCCTGGGGGCCATCCTACTCCACATGGAGGAGCACGCCACTGGTGAGTCTCACAGCAGCGTCTGACCCCCCCCCCTCAGTAGCTCAAACACCACTGAGGCAGGAGTTCAATTCTTGGCCCTCCCTCTTCTCCCCAGAGACTGCAGGTGTCTTCCACCCCCAACCAAGGGGATATGCTGGTGCTTATCTATTTGCAAAGCCCAATACCAACCATATAGGCCTCTGCTCTAAGGGCCAAACTGGATACTGGCCCACTCATTTTCGGCATTATCCTCTATGCTGTGCATGGCTAGGGAGGGCTACAGATCCTGACCCACCTACCCAAGGCTCCATCAAACCCTGTCTTTTATAAATCAACACAGATTAGAACCAAGGTTTTGTCAAACCCTGAGTCATCTTGTCTGGTCCTACTTAAAAGAGCTCTGAGGAGGAAGCAGGGAATGAAGGAGAACCACCCCTGGGGAAGAAGGCAGAACTCTAACAAAGGTCTCTGGGGTCAAACTGGTTTCCAATGCTCTACTGTCACTAAAAGCCTTGGAGATAGCTCTGAATTATGGACAGTAGAGGGTTAACTGTGCTGGTTAAGAGGAAATGGGTGTCCAGGATGGGGAGGTGCTGTCCTATCCCACCAGGGGGCCTGTTTGTGCAGTCCCTGTTGGGGACAGAAACAGAGACAAGAGGCAGAGATGAAACTTCTTTAGCCAGGCTGTATCTCACACCAGACTCGGATGATGGTGAGTCCTTTGAGGAAGAGAGGAAAGTCAGCATCAGCGCTCAGCTTCTTAGAGAAAGCTAGAGTCCTGGGAAGGTGCCCCAATGCTGGGCACATGCAGAGAATGTGGACGGGCCTAGCCTAGCCCTGGATTCCCTGCATGCCAAGTCAAGAAGACAGAGTAAGCCCCCTGCCCAGGACTGCCCTTCCTGTGCATCCCCTTTTCATCCCACCCTCCTCTGTTGATCCAGCATGTGCCCCCTGGCCTCTGCTGGGGTCTGGCCATTCTCAGGGCTCTGCCTCCCACCCCCATGCACTGGGGTGGGCAGAGGGAAACACATTCCTCATTGTGTCATTTCCCTTCATGGGCTGCCAAGGGGCTGAGGCAGCAGCCCCCCACCCCTCCCTCTCTGCTCACTTGTGTTTATTCTCATTTCCTCCCCACCCCCCCCTCCTCGAACCCCACCCGCCTGCCCCACTGATGCTCTGCAGATGGGAGCAAGGCAGCCCTGGGGCCCAGTCCCTCTCTCTGCCCTGTTTCCTGTAGCTGAGCCACTGAGGTCTTCTCTACAGGGCAGCTTCCACGGGGAAGGGCGTTCTTCCCCCTTTCCTCGAGTATGGCTCAGGGGTGACCAAGATGGTCTCGTGGAGTAAGTTTTCTAGGGGGTTGGCCAGCCCTGGGATACCAGGTCTTGGGGGCACAGGTCAAGGGCTGCTCTCAGGGCTGAACCCTGACAGCCCAGTGTGCCTGTGGACAGCGCATGTCCCCTGGTCCCTGAGTAAGGGAAGTGGCTCAGGGCTGGACCTCCTCAGGGACAAGAGGAAATGCCACCCTAGGACCTGCATATTTTAGAAATCCAAGGTTTTTGTCAATTAACTGTTTTGAACCCTTCTTGTTTAGCATATTCCTGGGAAAAACTGACGAAGCCTGGACTCCCACCCTAGAAGATTGTTTGACATCTAACATTGGGCACACAGTCTTGGTGGGCTGTGTAATCCAAGCTGAGAACTCTTGCTCCAAAGAGTTGGGGCTGGAGCTTTAGTGGGAGAGCACTTGCCTCATGTGTACAAGCCCAGAGTTCCATTCCACAATGGGGAGGAGGAGAATGGGACACAGATGGACCACTCTAGGTATGGTGGTGCATACCTTTAATCCCAGCACTGAGGAGGTAGAGACAAGTGAGTTCAAGGCTAGCCTGGTCTACATAGGGAGACCCTGTTTAAAAAAGAAAAGAAGGAAGGAAGAAAGGAAGGAAGGAAGGAATCCCAGAACTCCGGAGGCAGAGACAGGTGGATCTCTGTGAGTTCCACCAGCCTGGTCTAGTCTACAGAGCAAGTTTCAGGGCAGGGTCCAGAGCTACAGAGAAATACTGTCTCAAAAAACAAACAAAAAAAAAAAAAGGAAAAGACTCTTGTTCCAAATTAATCTAAAATGGTTCTCCATTAATTAGCAGAGGTCACAAAGCTATTTCTAGAATATGGGTTCTCTGACTCCCTTTGCTTCCACAAAGCTTTTCTGTGTATGGAACCTGGAAAAGAGGTCCTGTGTTGATGGAGTATCTACACATTGCCTTTTGCCCAACCTTGCTCCTACTCCAATTCCCTTGACTCTAGGCACTCTCCTCTCCCATTATGGGTGTCAGAATGCAGGAAGGGATGCCTGAGGGTCGAAGTAGAGGAGACTTCCTAGGGCAGTCACACCCCACGCCCTTCTGGGGAACACAGAACTGAGGGCATGAGTGTGGCAGGAAGAAAAGACTAAACTGGCTGTGGCAGTGATGCACTGAGGAGGCTGAAGCAAGGGGATTGGAGTTTGAAGCCAGCCTAGGTTATAGATCCAGAACCCATCTCAAAGAAACAAGCAGAAGCCAAAGCAAAACAAAACAAAAAGCCCACTAGATGAAGCTTCCCAAAAGAATCCAATCACAGTAGTTTAAAAGAGAAAAAAAAGTATCTAAATATCCATCAATGTACACATAAATAAAAGACTTAAAATATGGTGTGTCATTGAGCTATTTACTATTTGCCTACAAAGAGGAATGAAGTGCTAATACATGTGAAAACATGCATGAACCTGGAAAAATGTTATGCTGGCTGAAAGAATCTAGTTATAAAAGATTACATATGATATTCTACTTATATGAAATGTTCATAACAGGCAAATCCATAAAGTCAGGGAGCAGATTAGTGGTTGCTTAGGACCGGTAGAGGAATGGGGAGTGACAGCTAATGATTCAAGGTTTCTTTTGTGGGCCATGAAAATGTTCTAAAATTAAAGTGATGACTACACAACTTTCTGAAATGTATCACGGCCCTTCAAATGGGTGACATAAATTACATCATGCTAGAGTTGTTAAGAGTATGAGTTGACATGAATGTGTGTGCAAGTGCTCACACACATTCAGGCAGGGTAGGGTTGCACAGAATTGGCTCCTCCTAGCCCCCACAGACCTCCCTGCTTGTAGGTTTGAACACCAAATTATAGGTTTGCTGGCCACACAGCAACTTGCCCTCAGCCCTGCAAGGTCTCCAGAGTTCACCTAGAAAGTGCAGGCTGGCTGCAAAACTGGCCAGAACACCCCTGCAGGTATAGAAGCTGCTGGGGGAAGGGTAAAAGGGGTCCTGTGGCCAAGGAAATCCATCATGGTCCCAGAATCTCACCTTCCCACCTCCTAGGCCTTCTGTCCCTGACACCATTCTGCAGATATTTATTGAGCACATACACTGTGCCAGGCACTTATGCTAACCAAGGCAAACAGAGGGCTTGTAAGCCACCCCCCAGGGCTTCAGCTGTTTGGAGTCCAGGACAGCTTTTAAGTGTCATTCCTCCCCAGTGTTAGTGGGAACAAGAATTGGAGAGGAGATACAGAGCCCCCCTCCACTCACCCTTGGCCCCGCCCACAGATGAATAGAAACCACCTGGCCAGCAAACAGCCCATTCCCATGAGCATCTGCTTCTAATGAGTGCTCCACACCCGCTGCATACCAGCCCCAGGGCTCATTAATCTCATTAGGCAATGACAAATCATCCCAGGCCGAGCAAGCTCCCCTCCTTGGGCCCTCTGCTCCAGCTTCACACAAGCCATGGAGGGCCCACATCCACATGGAGCCTCACACCCCCATGCCTA